GTCTTGAAAATAAAATGTGTAAACATCACAGGACGGCACACCTCCCAAAACCAGTCCCCAGGCTCAATTCCTTAAGTTCTACATCCCCCGAATATGATGCAGGCTGTCTCTGGTTTTGCTCCACACTGTCAAACGTGTGCATGTGACGCTGTATGGACATGCAGAAGTGTGCTGTCCCAAATCAATTTTCTTATGAGTTTAATAATGATGTGTTTTGTCTGCTTTGAACGACTATATAAAGAACTCTTCTTATCTCTACTTGCCAAATACAACTGTGTGGAAAAAATCCAAGTGTGAGTCTGGAGAAGGGGCACCCCGCCCACTGCATTTACAGACCTGTCTTCATTTACCCAGGTGGCGCTGCCCTGAAATGGAGAACTTTCTTGGGTAATCAAGAGATGTCCCTACTTGTCCAACAACAACAAATGTTTCATTGGAAAGAAACATGTTGGTGCCAATCTAGAAAGAAATCCTTTCCTAAATTGGGCTCAAGGCAAAATACATATTGAATGCCAGAGCAATGAAATGTGAAGACCAACGGGGCAATGTTCAAAGAGTAAAAATGATCTACTTAGAAAAAAAAAAGAATTTTATTTTTCAATCATTAAAAAAAAAAGAGAGAATCATCCCTTTCAAGCTACTGTAAGATCAAAGATGAGAATGCCAAAATTTGTTTTAGAAAACAAGGGCATTTTTTCCTATGTTTAAATAATGTGCTGAAATGAGCACATAAAGATACCTGTTGTATAGGCTTACCCTGTTTGCACATTGTAGAGTGTAGGTGCGGCCCCAATGGAAGCCCTTTTCCTTTCCAAGAATTCTCTGATCCAATGCCAAGAACTGGCAGTGCCTCGCTGGCCATGACCTTGTACTTGAGCACTGCAATGAAGTCTTACTCTTGGCTACTGAACCTCAAACTATGACAGGTTCAGAGTTTATAGAAACTTGCATTTCTTTAAAAAAATTGTAAGTATCTTCCAGACCATGCTTCATTACAAACTGCTAATTAAAGGGAAAAAAGCATTAGTAAGGCGATACCACTTCCCGAATGGCACCACAAGGCACTGAAGACCCTGCAGCGCTGCCCCATAGCTAGAACTATGGTACAGTACTCAAGGGGCGATCCAGTCCAACCTTTGGCAGACAGTTAAAAATCTCTACTACGTCATGTTGTTGAGTGGGGGGAAGGGTGTGAAGGAAGGTAGAGGAAGATAGTCTGAGTTGATGTTTTTTAGAAAATCTGAGAAGGGAACTTTCAAGTTCACTCAACAAACAGAGAGCTTTGAAATGCTTCCAAGTCAACTCCTGCTTGAAATGAGCAGCTAATATTAATTTATAATCAGATATGCCAATATGTCTGATGTGCTGAGGTTTATTAAAAAGTTATAAACTATTTCACTCATTAACTACATTCCTTATAATCTTTTTATCCTCATCCTGTATTCATGGATAGTAAACCCTGCATTCATGGATAATGCCTAGATGAACACCAACAAAGGTCCAATGGCCACAATTCTATAATAGTGGGAACCAAATTAATCGGGTTGTCATGCATAGAGAATATGGATGAGGAGGTTCATTTTTGCTGAGCCTCTTTTGTGTTTTAACTTTTAAAACATCATCCTGAATAGGAATTAATATTCCCACTCGAGAGGTGCGAAGACTGCAGCTCTGGGAGACTAACATACCTACCCAGGACCATCTTGGTAACTGGCAGAGCTGGGATGAAGCTCACGTCAAAATGCCCAAAGCCCATGCCTTCCCTGCCTCACCTTGTTTTCTCTCTAGTTCTCTGTAGACCGTATTCATACAGTGTTGATGTTTAGAATCATACCACTTAGCAAGTAATCTCAGAAACTGCAGAACATTTCTAATGGCTTATTCGTAATTCTGCTACATGTCATACTCCACCAAAGACTGAAAGTGCCTTGCTAAAATAACAAACTGAAAAGATCACTTACTATCGTGACAAATAGCTGGCTAAAGCATCAACTTATGGACAACATGGCGCTGGAGATCTCAGGCCCCCGAAGACATCAGTGCTCCGATCAGCACCGACCTCTCAGTGCAGAGACCACTCATACAACCAGCAAATACCAGAGGTGCCTGGTTTGCTCTGAACTAGTAACCTGCAGTCCTGTCAATCAATTATTTATTGTTTCTATTTTGCCTACTTCCAAAAAGAATCAGAAGTGTCCTGCTCAGGACAAAGACTGCAACAGAAAATAAATAAATGGTAGGTTTGTGGGATGTGGGGGTGGTGGGGAGATAAGATAATAAATCCATTCTAAAATTTGAATTAACATAGATTTCATCTGCTGGGATCTGACAGGGTCTTGGATGAATTTACTTTGGTAGACATGGAAATAGTATGAAAACCTGAGAGGCTAAAAAGGGTTAAAAGGATAATGTGTAAGAAAGTTCTCTAGCAAACCCTTTTCTCTGAGATACTACAAAGATAAACACTAGGAAAGAAGGTCCCTTCTGTGTTAGTGAGGTCGAATTAATAAGATCTTACTATAATAACCAATTGTCTATGGAGTCAGCCTCTGTCTTTGTCGACATTATTAAAATGTCAGGCATTGCCACAGTATATGGAGGAAGCCCTAATGCACCGCTTCCCTTTTTAAAAGCAGAAGTACAAGACTTTATCCACTGAGAACTAAGGGGCTCTATGTAACTAACATTCATACTTTGTTCACTTGAATAAGAGTACAAATTTAAAAATTGTTTTAATGGGAATCTTTTATAATAGATTGTGCTTTGTCTCACACAGATATTAAACATAGTTTAATCTTTTCTGGATGCACCAGGGTCTCGAAGGCAGCAGGCCAAGGTCATTGGGCTTGAAGTCAGACAGACCTGGGTTTGAAATTTTGCCTTTTCTGGTGTTAGAAATTGGGAAGACTGTTTGGCTAGCTGGGCATCATTAAATAAGGTATGAGGAAGCCCTTCCTTTGTTTTGTGCGCTATAGGAGAAAAAAGATTTTTTGTGAAAAAGTGATGTAGGTCCTGAAAAGACTCGAGGTTTTTAAAAATGTTAAGTGCCCTAGAGCATATAAGGCTGTGATACCTTGCTTTTTAATGATAGCTAAATATTTCATGTGCTATTAATATTTCATTACATACATTTTCGGTTTTTTACCTCTAAACGTCTACTTTAAATTATTTTTCTGAATTACTAAAAATATTTGTAGTGTATCTTGAAATCAACATTTTGAGAATGCGAAGTTACAATGTCAGCCAGTGGGAGGGGGGATATTTGCATTTATAGAAACAATTTTATTCTCCGTATTAAGAATTTTCCTATTGCTTACAATAAGAATGAAGAATCTGGATTTTTGAAACATTATTTTACAGTGAATGAAAACCAGTTGCTTACTTAAATGAAGAAAAATAAATGTTTCTTGGACTCTTAGATAACGACTTTTTATTTTTTTAGTCTATCTCCCTGAATATCAGTGAGGAACTCAATCTTAGAAGTTTGCTGACACAGACTAATCGGAAGATCAGGAGCATTGCTGAATGGGAAATGTGTTAAAAGCACATGCCTTTATTCTCCAGGGGACACGGGAGATATTTAGACAAGGCATTCAGGACAGGAAGAAGGTTTCCAGGAAAGGGAGGCCATACTCTTTCCTTTAGTTAAGCTTTTGTAAAATAGCACATTAAAAAAGACTTGGTTTCATGTGCACAGACATTATAAAACAGCTCAATGTCTACATCTTGTATTTGCAGCAGTTCCATTTATATCCAAAAAGCCCAATTTTGCTGTTTCTAATTATTTTGGAATAAACTGTCAAAAATATTTAGGTTTATCAACCTAAAGATTGTTTGTCTGGTCTCGGAGAGATTAGAGAGTAAAATGTTTTGTGACTAGGAGTATGGAATTCATTTTCTTATCAAACATAGAAACATTATGGCCACAGTGATCCTGACAAGTATATATTAGGCATTATAAGCAACGGGTTTAAGGACCGCCTGGTCATTTGCAGAAAGACAATCCTTTTATTGTGCGAGCAAAAATGCCTTTGGTTTCCTGCCATTAAACCTAAGTGCCAGTGGAGGTTTGCACAGAGTTGACAAAGCTTTGTACAATATGCTCTTTAACAGAATAATACTTATACCTGGAAGAGTAATTTTTATTTCCCAAGGAGATGAAAAATTATGTTTCTTCACTATATGTGAGAAACATACATTATTATCTCCCCCTGGTCAGATATAGACTTTTCTATCTACTTTATACATTCTGCATATTTCTTGCCTACTGAGTCACTTCCGCCAACTGTGGGGCAGGGGTGGGGGAAGCCCAGAAGACCCCTACTAATTTCTTCTAAATTGAATGGTAGTTTCATGGAGAACTTTTCCTTTAATTTATATGATCAGATTGTGTTAAGTAGAACCAGACTACGGGGCTAAACATTTCCATATGCTATAGAGGCCCAGGACTTTTCCTGAAAGGAGACACCATTCTGACTTCAGATATTACCTGCTGCTTCCAGAAATGGCTGCAATCCACCCTGATTTTACCCTCTCCCAGGCTCCGAGGGTCACATGTAAGCACACGGAGGGGATGCTGCCCCCTGGCACTTCCTGTTGCCTGGCAGGACTCTTCCCTCTGCCACACTCCTGGACTCCAGTGGCTACCAGACTTTTCCCCACTCACTGCCACTTGCCTTCATCCTCTGCATATGGGATGAAGAATTAGACAAATGCAGGCAAGAAAGGCAGAGTTAAATTCTGGCCATCTGGTTCCTGGGCTGGAACCACTCTGAGCCTTGTTGGAATCTACAGATGCTTCACAACTCACCCCTTGGCGATAGGACATTTTGGTGCCTCTAACCTTCCCCTCTTCACTTTATGCTCCAGAAGTTTGTGAAACCTTAATGAGTCCTGAAGAATCCTAATTTCAAATTCAAAGAATCCAAAGTGATGATAACAAATAATAATTGATATCTGAATAAAGGTTAGTATTTGACAATGGATAAAGATTGGTATACCTTCCCTTCCTCAGGGCTTTGTTGACATAAATTGTGAACGTCGTCTTCTCTTACTAATTTTCCAGGCCAGGAAGTCAGTCCTTTGATTTGGCCCCAGACCAAGTCGCCAACATTGAACGTCCTTGGCCTATAATGTATCAACTCGTTTGAAGAGGGGGAGTCTGGATTCCGTAGGTCATCTTCACTACTAATGCTTTTAGCGTCTGAAGGGCTAGGCACACACCCATTAATGCTTTTGGCATTAAAGTCTCCATTGTAATGGATGTAGTCTTTGACCAGAGAACTTTCCAAACTATTTGAGGAGCTTGGAGACTGCTCCCCTAGGACCAGGTCTTGCTTTGTGGTGCTCAGCAGCTCTCCAAAGCCACGACTCTGTCGAGGTCTGTTCCCATTGATGTGTGCACATCTTTCCACAGTGTTCTCTAGTCTCTCCTTGAAACTCATCATAGTTCTTTTGTAGTTATTATACCTGAAATTTTCCTCCAGAATTTTATCCCCTTGACAGTTTCTTGGTGGTAACAGTATTGGGTGCTGTTCCCCAGGCAGAAATGGCAGTGTAGAGACATTGTTGGGCCTTTCGTGACAAGGACTACTGTGAATATGGCCTGGATGATCTAAAAATTCCTCACACTTCCACCTGTTTCGCTCCCCTCCAGGGCTCTGCTCCCCATCCCACTGTTTTTTAGATGCGTGGCAAGTTGCTGACTTGAAATATTCAAACCCATCTCCTTCGTGTGAGTTTTTCCCATGGTCCGGATTCCTGGGCAGCCGGGGCCCTCTTGCATTCCTCAGCCTACCATCGTGATCGACATTGCCCATGTTCCGTCCATGAATGACTGCACTGACAGCACTGGGGAGACTTAATGGGTCACCAATCGAAGCAGTGAAGGCACTCATGGCACTCAGAGCTGGAATGGGGCTGATCTGAGTTGTACTGTTGACTGCTGTGGTGATGACAACCTGCATTCCTTTGCTGGCAGCATCGACAACTGCCTTGTAAATGGCATCTACGGAAGCATCACCTTGGCCACCCACAATGAGGCCGTCCTTCACCTGCTGGCCAAGGGATGGGTCAATCCTCGGTTGCAACTCACAAGCTGTATCTTGGAAAGGTGGAAGTGTAGTGTTCGGATTCTCAGGAAGTGCAGTGAGCCCCGGCTGAGTGCTTGTTCTTTTGTTTAGGAGAGCTGCATCTTCCTGCATTCTCACCTTAAAGAAATAGACAGGAAGCAGTGAGAGAGAGAAAAAAATAAATTTAAAGACCTCAAAGAGAAAGACATAATTTTCAGATCTACCAGAAGACAAACAAACATAATGGGGAAGAAAATGACTCAGAAATGAAATAAAAAGTTACTCGGTATAGAAAAGCTTATGTCTTGATTATATCTGGGTACTGTTTCTTTGGTTAAAATCATTCAACAGATTTATTTTTAATCATTATTACTAAACATCCTCTAGAAAAAAATAAAGTTGAGGCTGTTGGACAAAATATGTTTTCAGGTGATGACTTCAAGTATTTAATATCATTACAGGTTTTGCAACTTGGGATTCAAAGAGAGAAGCAAGCCAGTCACCAACACTGCTCAAATTACAAAGGGAACCAGATTTTGAAAATGATTTCTACTGAACTAAGTGAAATACGATATAAGATAAAACAAAAAAACACATACTCCTTTCTTAACAACAAGATATTTCTAATATAACACTAAAATTTTAAAGTCTAATTTTCAACCTTACCAGGCATCAGCTGAGGGACACCAGTGACAATGGCTCCCTAAAGAAGTGTTTCTGAGTTGAGAAGAGGTGAAGGGTGGGAATGCCACCAGGGAAGACTATTAATGCTCAGGACAGGAAGGATGGGTGCAGTTTGAAAAAAGTCTCTGAGGTTACTCTAACTTCACCAACCCCATCTAAGAATTGCTGCTCCAGATCTTTGATACTTGGGATGGCACCCCCACCCCCCTGATCACTCCCTTCTGGTCTTCCCATCCTTCCCCACTAAATCAGAATTTGGGAGCACCAGCACATCACTGCCTCTCCTGCCATTCTCCCCTGGTCTACACCTCCCAGATAAAATTCCAGTCCTGAGTCAATTCAACTGCCAGCCTCATCTATATCTACAGTGAGGGTGCTGAGTCTGTGATGCTTCACCACTATTCAGATCTTCACCCACTTCCACAAGCTGGCTGCTGTACCGTCTCTTGCATTATTCTTAGTAGATGGCCTTACTTAACACAGAAAATGGAGTTCATAGGTTAAGAATTCTCATAATTCTTATACCCTGGCTTCTGGCGGCTCATACTTCTGTGCAACTTTGTGTCCCAAATCCTGTCCTGCTTCCCAGGGTCAGAGGGGCACCTTCTGCTCTCTGAGAGCAAGTTCTCCATTTGTGCTTCGGATCCTACCCCCTCCTCAAGGATCTTGCCTTACCTATTATCCCTTCTCCTCTTTATGTTCCATCTCTTCCACATTAAAAACATTAAATTTATTGGTTAATACAATTATTTATATTTCACATGTACAATTCTAAAATACATCGTCTGTATATTGTATTGTGTGTTCACCACTCCAAGTCATTTATCCCCCCTTTATCCTCTTCTACCCC